ATATTTAGATTGTGGATCTGGTGTCTAATATGTGTTAGAAAGTCGGCAAAACAGTGCTGTGATTTAAGTTTAAAAAATCTGATTTCTGGCCATTCTTTTGAGTGGGATGCTGAAAATAATGCAGGTTCTTAAGGTTCAACCGCAAATCGAATAGATCGGCAAAAAAATTCAAGGAGGCGAGGACAGACAAACAAAGAAGAGGAGAGCCAAGTACGAAAGAGGAAGAAGTTGACATTAACGCAGGTATTTGGAGGAAAAAAAAAAAAAACGTTCTGACAGCGGTCCAGCGTTTACACCTGTTAGGGTCACTTTAACAAACCCCCTCCCAACCTGCCTGGTGTTCTGCCATCGCCTCCTCCAATGTGCAGACAGAGATATCATCGTATTGCTGATCGAGTAACCAGAAGATGAGCCTGATCTGAAGTCTGAGTAGCTGCTCACCGGTGCAAAGCATACTCTTGAAGTGAACTGTACGTCTGCCAGGAGCTCAGATAGTGAGAATTCTTGTTCAGAAACAGGAGCTAAGCATTAGCACTATGCAATCTTTAATATTTATGTCTAATTTATGAGTGAAGGTATTAGAGATCATGCAATATTACCCCTCATATGACATTACTACATATTGCATAGCAACCCTGTGATCAATGAAGTCCAGGTGGGCATTTGGGGGGTTGTATTCGGCAACCCAGATGAAAGATTTCAAAAAATAAAAAATAAAAATCAGATGTTTTGTCGTGTACGGTGTCTGCAAAAACAAAACAAAAAAACCCCTAAATGTGTAAACTTTTAGTTGAGCCACCTGGACTTTACATACTAAAAATTCTGATATATGAGCAAAAACTACTGCACACAACCACAAGACGAAAATGTGCAGGATGCAACAGCAAGAAAAAAAAAAAAAGACAAACACATCTGTGCTTACATCCTTTAAGCCAAATTTAGACGCTGTTCCCAAAGATGTTCATCAGAGCACCAGACAAGTCAGATACACACTGAAACATGTGGTTACAATATGAGTTCAAACCATTCTTCCACAATGTGACGGACATCTCACGCTATTACACCATAGGAAAAAGAAACAGCCTAAATATTTTATAAAATAGAGAAAAAAAAGTTGGAATAGATTAGACAAATAGATTCTCATGATTTTTTTTTTTTTAAAGATTGTAATAAAACAAAATCTTTTCCAAACATGTAAGTTACACCTTTTTCCTGGGGATCTGGAAAATGAAAGTCTGATCAGTGAAGATACGTCCAAACCTGTCAACGTTGAAAACAGTATTTCTTGAAACTGTCTGAGACACAGCAGTCCAGGTTCTAATAGCATACATGATGAACCGCCATGAGGGCAGTCGGCAGGACAGTCTCTCTGCAACAACTGCACGGATTGCCCTGAAATCTGGAGCAAGACATTCAAGCCTCCATAGCACCATCATCACCTCAGATTTCTTTTTTTTCTGGGTTATGACCAAAACATGAGAAAAGCTTCAGCAAAAAAAAAAGCTGCTGTGATGTGGGCAGGCCTGAAGGCAGCAGCGGCCTTTAGGGACACCTTGCTATGTTTTGCTTCTATTTTGGCGAGACAGTTGTTTGTCTCCCTCATAAAAGAACTTTTGAGGATCAGGATAAATAGCATTTTGCTTTCACAGCCCATTTAGAGCTCATCTCCTCAAGAACTACTGGTGAAATGAGACCATTAAGTGCCATCTGGGCTGCTCCTGAGCACACTTCTCACTTTTACAACTGCATAGCAGCGGAACTGTTGAAATGAGCACCTGGAGATCGCGTGTTAAAAATACAAACACGCCGACACACATGCGCGCGCTAATTCTACGAGGCGCATGCATTTGCTATTTTCAGGTCCGGCCTGTCGTTGATACCGAGCGGTGATTAAAGCATACCTCTGAGCGCTAAGCACTGCCCTCAGTGGCCTCGCTGTGAAATGATAGCCTGCCAGCTTGACGGCTAGCAGACATGGACACCCTGTGAACCACCTGATCCTCATCTAAACTGGCTGACCTGACTGAGACCCCCAGAAGCAGCTGATGCCTGAGACTAGTGAAGGACACTTTGAAGTGAGCTACACAGAAGTGAAGTCCCATCCAGAATCTGGGTTAACTCCTGTCCAAACAGCCTGCATTGTCCAATGTACTTGTGCCAACATGTGCTTTTCCTCAACGTTGAAAAGGTCAACAAGTCTACCAATAGCTTGGGAAGTACATTCATGCATTCGTTTGGCAAGAATGAAACAAAAAGGATCGATCCCACTCTTGTAAAGTTTTAACGAGGAGCCAATTTGCATAGCTTGGCATAAAGAACGGAAGAAGAGGGAAACCGCAAACCTGGCTCTGTCCACAGTCACAAAGACCCACGAGCATCCTTCAAGTCAATAAGGTTGCATCGACTGTCTGGAGTCACTCAGCTGGTTGTTGGGCAACTATATCTCTAACAGCAAGTGTCCAGGAAGTCATTCACATTTGCCAAGAAATAATGACAGCACACAGCTCGCAGTAAAACCACAAATTGCTGCTTTTTGTTCATACTATAAAAATGAGATATAACATGTTAAGCAGCATGGAAGAAGCTGGGCCTTCTTTCAGTCTTTATGTGAAGCTTTTCTGGCTCCGGCTGTGTACTTAAAGGAATAATTATATTCATCTGTATCTTTCAGCAGCCCGTTAGCTTAGCTATACCAAGACTAGAAACAGACCTACCAGCACAGCTAAGGCACATTTATTATCATATACAGTCGCCCTCAGATGTATTCAAACCCTTTCATTAAAGAAAAGGCAAAATTCACAATAGTCACTCAAATAACTAGAAACTGAACAAAGTAATAAGAAATAAAAATTTGCTAAATTATAATTTAGTGAAATAAGACATTGCTTTTGAATTGTGTTTGAAAAGAAAAATTGAAAAACAAAAACAAAATTGACAAATTAGAGCACTTTGCTGATGAGCAGTGGACCAAAATCCAAAGATCTGTCAACAGGTGCAGAAGTCTGATTGAGAGTTACAGAAAACACTTGATTGCAGTGATTGGCTCAAAGAGTTGTTCAACTAAATATTAGTTTACGGTCCCATCATGCTTGTTTGGTTGTTGGTGTTTATTTTTTTTAAATATATATATATATATTTCTGCTGAACCACAATTCAAAAACAATGTCATGATTTTCATTAAATTTTAATTTATTATTACTACGTTTGTCAATTTCAACTTATTTCAGTGACACCTGCTTTTTCCTTCTTTAATGGGAGGTATGACTACATTTGAGGACGACTGTATTGTTGTGTGGACAAACTGCAGTTTTACAGGAAGTTACATGCTTGACTGTTTGTTTTTTAAATTAACATTTCTCTGCAAAAAAGAAAAACAACCACATTCCTCAAAATGGCCAAACTATTCCTACAAGTTTGAACATCTGTGCTATTACCAACGAGCAGCAATTATTTTATTACATTCAATAAAAAAAAAAAAAACCCTGCTAGTTTAGATACAGGGCAAGCGGCTTATCAGATCCTAATTTTAATGAGAAGGCAAAGGTTGTTTTGGATATTTTCTCATGCGGAGCTCTCAGGAGGGGAGAACTAAATTATTCTGCATAAAGTTCCATAAAGTATCTTGCGATTATGTACGAACCCAAAAAAAGAACGCAAAGAAATCTCTTTTTCCCTCCCCTGAGGAGGACGCTTTGAAGTTCAGGGATCTATCAGAATCAGCCTCAGTTCGGTATGTCCACCACCACCAGCCTTGTGACTCCCCCTGCATCATTCCATCCTTCCTACCCAAGTCTTATATAATCTTTCTCTCATCCTCTTTTTTTTTTTTTTTTTGCCTCAAATGTCTCTTGAAGCTGTAAATCCGTGGATTGAGGACGCACATGTTGGAATGAAACTACAGCGTGTCTGTGTGTGAACAAGTGTCCGACGTATGTACGATATGTCGCGCACGTGATTCGGCTACAGGTGGCCGGAGGCCCCCCGAATCCGGCGGTCTCCTCCCCCCCGCCCCCTCTCGGCACGATGGGAGGAAAGACAGGTGACCTCGCAGCCTGTGAAGTCCGCAGAGCGAAAACTTCAGAGAGCAGTAACTGGTTACATCGGCTGATAAAGGGGAGGGAGATAGACCGAAATGGAGAGAGAGAGAGAGAGGGGATGAGGGGTAGAGACAGCTGCTGCTCTGTAGATTAGAACTGAAAGCAGCTCGCTCTCTCTTTCTCCGAGCGCAGCTTTGAACTGTGTTTTTGCCTGCTGGAGTCGGTGATTGGCTGAAAAGCTGGGTCTGCACTGTAGGCCAATTTTAAACTCCCTCAGCACAGGACTTAAATCTGACATGTTCAATCCCCACACCCAGTTTCATAAAAATAGACACCATTCTCATGTGGGAACCCTTTTCACAGAGCTCCGTTGTTTTTTTGTATATCTATAAGAAGCAAATGTAGTTTTCTGTCATTAATAACATTTGTGCTGCAGAAGGTTTAAGTTTTAATATCCGTGATTATATTAAAAATCTAGCAAATCTGAGATGATGCCAACACAGCCAGCGCATGTCTCTTGTCTATAAATGTTGAGTTAACTATTAAAACACAACATCTCTGTGCCATCCTGGTCTCCAACTCCTATTAAACTTATTGTCGAGGTACACTGCAGCAAAGCAACAGCGAACATTTTTATAGATTCTGCAATAAGGGCAGAGTTTAAAAAAGGCTGCCAAGTGTCGGAGCACGCCAGCTCTGCTCAAGGCTGTAAATGATGTGATTTACACACAGCTACAAGTAATCCAAGGATGATCAAAACATGTTTAAACAAGGCAGAAATGGGGATTTGAGTGTGTGTGTAGTTTGAATATAAAGCGACGTATGGAGAGCCGAGTGCAGGTGCTAGCAGTGGGAGGTGGGTTTACAGTCAGAGACGGAGCCTCCTGTGGAGATTTCTGTGCAAGTAGTACAAGAGCGACAAAGACAGAGAGAAGAGTGGGTTTTCAAGAGAAAGTTACTCACTCCATCATAGACGCCGGTATGGAGCAGCAGTCCTGGATTGCGGTGAGCGGCGAGGTGAGGTGAGCGGTGTACGACGCCTCCACCACCTGTTTGTTCCTGTTCACCACATCCAGGTAGCGGTTGAACTTCTCCCGGATCTTCTTTGCCAACTGCAAAGGAAAAACACAGACATGTTAATGAGACGGTGATGAATGGTGGCACTTCAACTGATTCCTTACAGCTTCACAAGAGGCATTTTGTTTTTCATTCGTCCATCTTATGTCTCACAGCACAGATCTTGTTTCAACCTCTTCTGACATCTAAGTCTTTACAATTACTATCCATTTGGCAATAACAGCAGAAACTACAAATGTTCTTTTGTTTATAGCAGTTGCATATTAATTGTATGTTTGTGGCGACGGTGACGTCCTCGCTTCTCACTTCACTCTGTATTTGTGTATTTGTGCAGCAAAGAGGGGATTTTTTTTGGCTTAGTAACATGACAGGAAACTTTTATTTTGCAGATAAAGAAGTCTTTCTGAAAGTTTAGTTTGTATTTTAAAGCTTTATCATGTCCAGCCCGTGCATCATTTTCAAAAAAACTCCTCTTAAGGAAAGTTAAATCAGTACAATCGATATATTTTATTATGACGGATCTCCTACAAAAACCGGTATAGAGACACAAACACATTAAAGACTCTTCATTACAATGCTAGAATACAATAGCTGCAACCGGTTACATTCATGCATCTCCGTTTCCTCTCCACTAACTCATTATATTGGCATGAAAACACATCTAATTAAAGGAACTGACCTAGACTGGGTCTTCACTTCAGACGTAAAAGATTCTCTGCATCTATCTTTTCGCTGCTTTGTTCTCAAACACACTTCCTTCCACTGTGACCCCCGCCTGCGTCTCTGCCTTAAGTTTAGAATTCTAACTGATCATGTCTACATTTAGCCCATGCTCGACACAAATCAAAGAACATGTTTCAAAGGTAAAAAACCAGCGCTGCTCCTGGGTGCGAGCAAAGCAAACACTGCTATCTATATATTCTCTGGTTGACACGAAATTAACTCGCTTTATCGCATTTACAGCCCCATTTATCTGGCAAACCGCAAATATGTCGGCTCCGGTTGGAGACGTGGAGGTATCGTGTAAACAGAGAGTGACACCTCAAGGCAAACGTGTCCACACCAACTCCCTTCTGTGTGCATCGGTGGAGCCTTAAATCAGCAAAGTCCTTAAATACACATGTGCACAAACACAATTTAATATTCACAAGGGAAGCTGAGCGATATCAAAGATGCCCAGACCTCAAGCCGCACTAAGTGTGAAATCCATCACTGTTAAAAGCAGAACAGAATGACGGATGTCTGCGGCCCGAGAACACGAATGCGTCCACATGAGACGCTCCTCATCATTCAATGAGAAAATAGGCCTAAAAATACAGTACACGGCCAACGCATAGTGAAATCTTGCAACAACTGCATCACATGGATGCACCAACTCTCTCTTTTTGTTTAATGGGGATTACCGTATCAATTATTCATCTGTTTTGCTAAGTCCTGTTTTCTCTGTTAATGTCACTAAAGAAGATTTTTAAAAAGTTGTCCAGTGAGTTAAAAATTCTGTTTATCTTTGAGAAAGTGTGGAAAAACCAGGGTGCAGGAAGGAGAAAATGGCGTTTCTAAACAAAGGCAGCGAATTCAGCTGTGTTTACTGTGGCGCTTCATGCTGCCCCTCTGAACAAGCGTACTTTATACTTTTTCCATTCTGTCTCTGAAGGACTGGGTTCTGGTTGAGCACACATATCACAGAGCTCTTTCAGAATGGGGATCCAGCTCTTTGGGGAAACTAATAACCAGCCCTGCAGCAGCCTCCTGGGGTACATTAATAACCAGTGCAGCTCTTCAACAACAGACTCCTGTTCTTGCTTTTGTTTGACAAAATTCCTCGAAAAGATGTTATGAGGGATTGTGTGGCGCTCACACCCGCTTGATCCGAGACCCGGCACGTATGTAATCTGTGACAGATTATCTTGTTTACCTGAAAAACCATCACATGAGCCACTGGCTTACTGGAGATCTGTTAGGGAACTATTCACTTCTAGATCATTTCTGATTACGTTTTCATCCAGAATCTGTCAAATACAGAAAAAAGTTGACACATTTATAGCCATTATAGCATTTGTCTTGTTGTGACCTGTTCATACTAGTAAACAGATCCTATCCTAACTTCTAGTGAATGTAATTGGGGGCAAAATCTACATTCTTTCTTGTGCAAAAAAACAGAAACCAAGACTAGAGCAGCTCAAGTTTGACAAATCAAGTGTTTATCTGTGAAACTTAGTCTCTTTAGTAGAAATTCTACTTGCCTTTGTGAGCTGTACTGCAAAGACAGAAACAAAAAGAAGAATATCTGTTTTAAATTACTTGCATGGTTACTGACATTGACTAGATCAAAATGAAGATGCCTCATACCAACTGTGTTTGTGCACAGAACAAAGACTGTTTTTGTTCCTCAACCTAAGGACATGATCTTTTCACAGCCCTCATGACAACCATGTCTCCCAAAAATTTCTTGTGCAACCAAACCACAAGAAACTTCTATTTTTTTTCCTCTGGGAAAGGAACAGTATGACAAATTAGTAAACCTGAGGAGCTGAAAAGTCTGCCTTGGGAGGTTGAAGAAGTGACCTGGCATAAGTCCGAAACAAAGACTTTCACGCAGGACACATCAGTTCTTGTCTTGGACATTCGGGGGTTTTTTTGCGTGGAGTTTGCATGTTCTCCCCGTGCAGTGTGGGTTCTCTCCGGGTTCTCCGGCTTCCTCACACAGTCCAAAAACATGTCGAGGTTAAATGATGCTTCGAAATGTCCGTAGGTGAGAATGTGAGTGTGCTTGGTTGTCTGTCTCTAAGTGGAGCCCTGTGATAGACTGGTGACCTGTCCAGGGTGTCCCCTGCCTTCACCCTAAGTCAGCTGGGATAGACTCCAGCCTCCCACGACCCTAGTGAGGATTAAGCGGTGTATAGATAATGGATGGATGGATGAGGGGAAATGATGATGTCATTAACTCCAATGCATTTCACAAACTATTCAGCAAGTTAGCTTGAACACACCGCTTGACTCTACACCACCGTCTGCTCAGCTGTGACACATACTCTGCTACATGTGCTGCAGACGATGCTGAGTGCTCTGGAGTTGGAGCTACTCTGTGAGGACACGATTTCAAAGTTACCTCAAGCATCCTTCTCTGCATTATGATCTGCACAAAAAGAAATGTTTTTCATATTGGTGAATATCAGACGACATATAAACCATGTCTGTGATAATCCAGTATCGGCTGATAGCGTCCGTTGGGCTCTAACATCAAAGGGGATTCGATTTTCAGCTCGCAGGAAACTGTTCATTTAAATATGACACAAGTGGGGTCCAAACAACTTCCAGAGAAGTCAGTGAAAAATGGCGCATTGAGCTGAAATCAGAAAGTTGCATCCTCATGTTTAAATACATGCATAAATTACAGATTTTCTTCTTCTGATTTAAAAATGTATAACAACTAAAAAAAAAAAATAACAAAAAATTCAGAATGCGGTATTAAATGTGCACTGAGGGCAACAATAACACAAAAAAACGGTGGTCTGAATACTTTCCGAAGCCATTGTAAGTCACCTCCTCGGCCCTGTTGAATACAGAAAAAGGCTTATTTCCACAGTAACTGGACCCCCTTTGTTCACATCCCATAATTACCGCTGCCTGTAAAAAGGCTGTGATTGAAGCCAGGAACAGGGAAATGTACCGCGACCCACTGACCGCTTGTACACCTAATCAGCCGGCCGCTATTCCTATTAAGGTTTTAACAGGGGCCTGAGGCACAGCCCACAATTACTGCTACTCCACCACAAGGAACACACACACCAAGACACTAACATGTTCGCTCTCACACGGTGCAGGAAAAAAAAAAAAGTCAAACACACAAATGTTGTACTCCTTCACACACAGTGCTGTCCACCACGCATGGCAATTAGCTGCAGTGAACTTTGTATTTAAAAAAAAAGGGGGGGGGGAAAAATGGGCCAGTGTTCAGCTGAGGAGTGTTTCCATAGCTGGGGGAGGGAGGGAAAGGAGAAGAGAAAGTATGGCTGGAGTTTTAACAGAGTGACTAAAGAGAAACCAGAAACTTCGAGCTGTGCAAGTTAAAGCTTAGGTTACAGTGTGCCACAGTGCAGCCAAAACCAACCTGTGCCCTGCAGATTAACCACACTCTCCAAAACACACGGCCCCCCCCCGCTCTCGGTTCCCCCGACCCGTCGGAACAACATGGAGGGTTTTTTTGCAGCACCCGGTGGGGCTGGTTCAGCCGCAGAACAGGAGCGAGTGGAACGGCTTCTCCCTCAAGTCTTGTGCCGGAGTTACGAGGTCTGCCGGCCAGACACACTTCAACCACAGTCACTAGCAGGCGGTGTTTATGGCAAGACCTACTTTGGAGCGCAGGGATGAAGCTAATGTAGGAAAATGTGTAAGAGCCACAAATCAGAAAACCTCCACGACCCAGGTCTTAACTCCACCTCCTCACCAACCAGCTTCATTATCAGACTTCATCAGATATCTGACAAAAGCTACAAAGACTGCCTTCACAAAGCATCATTATTTTTTTTTAAAGCAATGACTGACTTTGCCAACTTTTAACCGTTGACGTTTTGTAGTTCTGATGTAATAAGAAAGTGAAACTAAAGGTCATTAATCAGAGTGAATTTCACAGTGCATTGTATGCATTGGGAACCAACCTTCAACTTCAAACGGTCCTCAGACGGTGGCTAATGAAAGCAAACATACAGAGAATTGATCTTCAAAACATCAACTCTGGTGTAGAAATTTAAAACTGCATCCCTCGCTTCCTCTTGGATAAGCTGGTTTTGTTATTGGACTAGTGTCTCCTCGGGTTTGACAAATGGACACGTTGCTTCTAATGATGGTCAGAAGGTTTGCTGAGCTTTTACACTGCTGACTTTGTTCACTCTGGACGGTGACATTCAGCATGATTTGATAAAGTCATTAAACATTTGTTAGTTCCAAAACTGAAAAAAACCCCTCCTGCATACACATCCAACATCAAGCTAAAATTCATGGATTGTTTTCCAACTTTCACATTTATACGCTAAAAAGAAAAGCTGGCATAAAATTTGAACTCATGTGGCAAGCTTGGAAACTCCAAAAATAACTCTGCTGTCATGTCTAAATACCTTCAGTGGCATTATTTCAAGTTGTTATACTCAGTGTAGGAGTCCACACAGTAAGCCATTAAAATGACAGCAGTGCACACCTGTAGAAGGGAAATCCAAATCCACCTTCTGACTTGAATTAAATTACTTTCTGTTGTCCTTGAACTCCAGTTTCTGAAACGTCGCCATGTGCAGCAGCCTCTACCTGGGCTGAGACTGGCAGGTGTAACACTGTCGCCAAGCCAGAGTGGAACACCGAAGAGCAACACATCCTAACACATTGTGTGAACTTGTGTTTTAAAGCTGCCAGAATCTACAGTGCATATGGATTCATGTGATGACTAATTTTCTTAGATTTTACAAACTATCAAGGTTTCTACTCCAAGTCTTGTGTGTCACATGGTTTTGTCCTGCCTCTCTGACTTCATTCATATGTCATTCTTGCAGATTTGTATTTTAAATCATGTGATGTGTTTTCACCTTGTCTTCTTTGTGAGAAGTCAAAGTTCCAATACTGGGCTGCATGACAAACCAAAGCACAACACCAGGTGCTCACAGCTTTGTCAAGAATACAACTAGGGCGGTGCAGGACTGATTAACATTGTGTATTACTTTTTTTGCCTTTTTGCCTTTATTTGATAGTGCAGTAGAGAACGGAGAGAGGAAAGTGGGGGAAAGAATGCAGGATTCGAACCCCTGTACATGGGACGCCAGCTCAACCAGGTGAGCTATAGCGGTGCCCAAGATTGTGTATTACTTTTTAAATAAGAATTTATTGCTGATGATCAACCTGCTACATATTCTAAATTGATCGTAGTGGCAATTTACAGAACATTTTATACTCCATAGCAGGGCTGATTAAATAATCCACATTATTCTCAAGAAGACAAGCGAAACCAAAATCAACAGCAGAAGATGAAAAGCTAGTTCTTTAAATCGGGTCGTCATTGGCTGTGAGGAATTATGTAGGATTTAAGGGATGGTAGGCAAGAACAAATCATACACAAAGACTGGATAAGACTTCTGTCTGAGCTGCACAACAACACAATTAACTTGTTCAACCAGTTGAAAAGCACCACAAACTGTGTTACGATTAATGCCTGAATGCCAACAAGAATAACATCGCTAATGTTGCCTCACTGGTTCCTGCGCTGTCCAGCTTTAACTACGACTTCCGTAGCAGCAGCAGTAGACGTCAACACGAAAGAGAGCACAGTGCTCTGTTGATTTAAACATTTTATTTCTATTTTTTGTTTCTAGGAGATTCACTGTGATTGAGGACCAGTCCGATTTTGATGCAAAGATTTGTACATTAGTAGAAGAGCAGCAAAACAAGGAAGCAGTGCAATAAAATAATAACATATACAGTCATCTTCAAATGTATTCATACCCTCCCATTAAAGAAGGAAAGAAACAGCTGAAATAAGTTGAAATTGACAGAAGTTATAAGAAATAAAAAATTAATGAAAATCATGACATTGCTTTTGAATTGTGGTTCAACAGAAATATTTTTTTAAAAAACAAACAAAAAACAAGCAAACAAGCATGATGGGACCCGGAAACTAATATTTTGTTGAACAACCCTTTTAGCCAATCACGATTTGGATTTTGGTCCACTGGTCATCAGCAAAGTGCTCTAATTTGTCCAGGACAGTTTTTTTTGTTTTTTTTTAATTATTCTTTTCAACCACAATTCAAAAGCAATGTTTTATTTCACTAAATTATAATTTAGCAAATTTTTATTTATTATTGCTTTTTTCAGTTTCTAGTTATTTGAGTGACTATTGTGAATTTTGCCTTTTCTTTAATGGAAGGGTATGAATACATCTGAGAACAACTGTATATAAAGATGTACAATGAAACTATTTTATCCCTCTAATCAAAGAATTATTATGAGAAATAATCATCATCTATCGAGAGTATTACGTGTGCCATGACAGTGCAGCCCTACTCCATAGTTCTCTGTATATCCAGCTGCTTTAAAAAAACACTCCACTCATCTGTTGGAGCCTCTTGTTAACGTAGTGTCATGCACATCTGGCCCAGTAGAAGAGCATTAAGTTTCAATTAATGATAACCACTCTGACAGCACATGTCAGTGAGTAAAACAATCCACTCGTGGGACGGATTCAAAGACGGGGACAGACAGCGAGAGGCAGGGTCCGTGTCGTTAGAGGGGGGACAGATGTCAGTGTGTCTCTCTGAATAATGAATTTCCAGAAGAGAAACTCATAGAAGAAGCAGAAGCCTCCTCTCTGTAGCTCCTTGCCCTCTCTCCTCTCCCCGGGTCTGCAGATACCCTCCTAATTGAGCCTCGCCTTGGCTCGGGGACACAGCCCTTCTGCCCAGAGAGAACAAGTCAGCCAACTATGCCAGAGCTGTCATCTGAATTAGATTGAGCCTGCCTCAGGAGGGTTATGGTTAAAATTATTGGGTTCTCTTTGAGCTGGCTACAGAAATAAAATAGTTAAACTCTTCCAACGCGGACCCAAAATGAGCAACTTTACTCGGGGAGTTATTAAAATTAACCTGATTCTCGTCTGAAAGGGAAGATTGGTTGTTTGTAGCTGGTTATGAATCTAATTATGAGGAGTTGAGTGACTATTGCCTGGTTGCAAGTTATTTAGAACGACGATACAAGTACAGAGAAGAAAAACAACAATGCTTCGAGGCCAATTTGAGCTGCCTCTGGAATAGTAAATATGCGACACACACATACATACATACATGTGCAGACACAGATGGATACACCGGTGTGCAACACAGAAACACAGTCGCAGGAGAAATGCAAACAAACATCAACCTGTCTGTTCTTGCTGGTGGCTGTTTACCAGTCTGGTGTTTACTGTCACTCGTCCAATATCCCTGACGCAGGAACGCAAACACACCGTCGCACACACACTTACACACTGGCCCTGCGTGCAATCGCGTTCGCCTCGACGCAGGATGTCTACGCGTGGTTTTTCCGATCTCGGGCTAAAAAATGTGTAAATTTGGACTCGTGCGTCGGGGGTCGCTTTAAAACAAATCTCTCGTTTCTGGCTGAGCTCGGTTCACCTCTCCTTCAAGCCTTCTCATTCTGTCTTACTGAAGCTCTGCACTCATATTGTGAGCAGAGGGAGAGACACTGAGCACAGACGAGTGGAAAAACAGACAGAGAACTTCAAAGCCAATGAGACAGCAGCCATAGAATTTTAATAAACCCCCCTTTTTCCTTTTTTTTTCTCCTCTGATGGCTGCTGTATGTGTTCGGGGCTGCTACACAAGACCACAGACAGACACACCAGCCGTGGCACATGCATGCACAAACAGGTAAGGCGTGCGCACGTACACACACACACACACACACACACACACAGGACAGCAGAAGCCTTTGTTACTCACCTGCTGCACTTCTGTCTCCCCGTTTGATGTCTTCTCGGTGTACACAAACGAGTTGAAAATCCTCTGTAGAGAGAGAGAGAGAAGCAGAAACAGTGATGTTAGAAAAGGAGGAATGATGAAGATTCACATCCAGTCGCTGAAAAACCATCACCAGAGGAAACGTCTGTAGCGACAGATTTTTGGTTCAGGTGTTGTCGAGAAGAAACCGTAACACATTGGACTCATTACATCGATTTAAAAAAAAAAAAAAAGGTGTTTGTGAAAAAAGGTGATTGCTCTCCCAGTAGATTTGCAAACTAATGTTTCGTTAACACATGGCATCTGAAGAGTGGAAACATTCGCACCTTTTCGCACACATGTAGTGATCGCACTTCCTCACTTCTGTACAGATTCCAGTCAGACCAGGACCTCTCTGTGCCATTCATGCTAATTAAGCCTGCCAGCTCTAATGAAGCTGCCACCACAGCTGGGTACTAAAATTTGACTGCAGAACAAAATGTATCCAAAGCAGTCAGAACTAAAAAATACCAGAAGTTCACTTAGCGAAGATCGAATTCTCCTGTTTATTCTCTTTATGTTTTTCCTCCTCTAAGTTACAGTTTCATAAACGTGAACCTGCAGTTTACTGAGCCTTTCATTCAGAGCTCCTTGTTTGTGATTCGATATACGAGGTGTGTCTGAAAAGTTCCAGGACTGGTGTCGCAAAAGATATATTTCAAACCCCAACTACAAACTACAAGTCTTCAACCAGCACATCTACAAAGAGATCCTGCTGCGTTTGCTTCAGTGCGCCAGTAGAGGTGAGAGTTGTGGCAGGACAAGTGGTGGCTGCTTCACCATGACAACGCGCCTGCTCACAATGGCCTGAGCATCCCACAGTTCCTGGCTGAGAAGAACATCTCCGTGCTGGAGCAACCTCCCTACTCACCCCACCTGGCTCTGTGGGATTGTTTACTCTTCCCCAAGCTCAAGGGGGTCATCAAGGGGACCCGTTTTTAAGACGTGGACGACATCAAGATGGCTGTGACGACGGCGCTGCGGAGGATCCCAGAAGAATCCTTCCAGGAGTGCATGGTGGCGTTAAGAGAAGGCTGGGGAAGTGTGTTAGACTCCAGGAGGACTACTTGGAAGGGAAAACTTGTAGTTTGGATTTGAAATATATTTTTAGTGACACCAGTCCTGAAACTTTTCTGACACACCTCGTACTACAAACAGATAGATCCAGTGGCGTGCTATGTTGTATTAATGACAAGGAAATTGGATCATGACAGCATCGCATGAACTGAACAGAGAATCAAAAATGTATCATTTTATTAAATGTTGCCACAACAGCCACCTTTCATCCTCCAGACCTCAACCGTGTAACTTTTGGAAAATCTTCAAGAAGTTTTTCAAAAGTTCTGTTTAAGTCACATCAAAGTGAGGACAAAATGACAAAAGCTACATTTTCAAATTTATCCATGCATGTGTGGACAGGTCTGTCTGTCTGAACAACTTAGGTGCACATCCTACAACAGAACACAGACTTTTGATTTCTAAAGCCCTGCCTGAGCTAATAACATTAATTATAGACAGGTTCCATGCAGTTGTTTCACCACCAGGACTCTAGTGCGTATTTGACAAATCTAAAGCTCCTTTCAGACATGCACTCCTTTGTGTTCATCTGACACCATCTGAATGTTGCTCGTCATGTCTCTTCTGGTCGCTTTTCCCAACGGTATTCTTACTGGGTCGGACCTGGTAACATTTCCTGATCACTTTCAACACAGCAAGTCTGAGCTGTCCCATTAACAGCTAGCGAACAGCCCAGAAAGACCGACAAGCGACGTGCTTAAAGTTATGTGAGGCGAAGACTTTTTCCACATTTAAGCACCAAAACCGGTTCAATAACATCAAAGGGTTAAAAAGACATAGTTTGCATGCCTTTTGTTGACACCTTTCATGACTCATGGTAAATTCTGTCTCACTGGCTTTGCTCTACAATTTCACATCTATTAAACTCCAAAGGTCCTTTAGTTTAGTCTGTTGCTTCCAGTGGTTTGAGGAGTCTTTCCTCGAAATTTATTGAATACCTGCATGAAACTGTATCAGCATCCATATGAGCGTCTTCAAAGCAAGTTCATTTACGGACCTCACACAAAAGCTGTCATGTTATCAAGTACTTATAATTATAAATTGTTCACAACACAGAGTCAGGATTGGTCAGAATCTAACAATAAATGATAATATGTACTCTTCTATGCTTCAGAAAGGTGAGCTGTCAGTCACTTTATAAGCTGCAGTTAAATCGTTTGCTCCGGAGCTGATTCCTTGGTAACATCACAGCTGTCGGGATGTTATTTAACTGTAAAAGGCAGATTTGTTTCCTAGAATATAAATATTTTTCTGTCTTGTTGTACAGGATATTTCTAGAAATGCACATGAATTATTCCCCTGACTACACACAGAAGGGGACCTCTCTGAACATGAACTACCAAAACATGGCAACAGGTAGCCTAGCAACCACTACAACATATGACATGGTACATAAAATGCGTTGGTTACATAAATAATCAAATACATATTAACGCAAATGCTTGTGTTTTAGAAATCCTAAATAAAATAGGCTGTCTGTTATTTCGACAGTCTGATAAGTTTGCTATTAGTTTAGATTCAGCCTTTGTTTATTAGGGCATTATTATAAATTATACGTCACCTGATGCACTGTCCAATCTAGTGTGTAGGACAAATATCACTTTTTTGAACAAGTATGAATGAATAAAGCCACGTCATAAGGAACATTAAAGTGACCTACAGTAAACTGATGAGGCAGCAATGTGAAGTAATCCATGTATGAAAAGGCTTAAATGTTGCAGAAGCATCCTTAGTCTTTCTAAGAATAGGTTTTTCTTAGCAGTAAAAATCTAAATACAGCAAAAAAAATAAAAATAAAAGCTTGAATAAGTAATCTGTCTCATATTCATGACATCATGACGTAACACATGATGACACTAAATGATTACATAGTGAGGCGTTTAGGGGTTACCAGTGTTCCCCCTTATTATGACAATACCTAGCAAAATCTTGGGTGACTACATTCACATAAAATCATTTGCACATTTCTATATCTCTTGTAAATTGCATTGACTTTTCTTTTAATAATATATTTTTATCTTATTTTACCTTCATTTTATACCCTACCCTAATATTCCGTGTTGTCTTTTTGCTTTTGTTTACCCCCTTTGTTGAATATGCATGCTGCTGGAACACCTGAATGTCCCTCTGGGGATTAATAAAGTCAGTCTAAGTCTAATAACAGCCCCAAAAACAACTTCACTGAATGAAACACACAGAAAGTTAATGCTCTGACATCCAGAGAGTCAGGCAGACACATTAGCGGTAGCACCGACGGATTTCTCTGCTAAGACAAGTGCATCTGGAACCATTTTTATTTGAATGATAAACCTGATTATGTGCCAAAGGAAACAACCCTTGAGATTCAGACAGCTCGGTCCTGTCGTTTACATCTTGGTTTGGAGGGAAAACTTGTCACCTGTCTGGGTTTTAAGGTCAGCTATAACACGGAGTGAAGGTTTGTCATGAGCTGATGTAAAAATTTCCCAACTCACCTTCCAGACTGAAACATTTTAATAGTCCCTGATTTATATTGTTAAGTGGATAGGAAGTGGAGTGGTACATTAAGGCATGGAGAAAATGAGTCCTGGTGTGACCTCAGAGAGCCACAGGAAAACACTTTTAAGAGCTGTGGACCTGATCACACAGACGGCCTCCTGAGTCCCATCAGCTAAATATTTTCTCTCTTTCTCTTGCTTACATGCACACAAACACACACACACACACACACACTTCTGAAAGCACAGGCAGCGGTACTATGTGGCAGCTACAAACAGTAGAACCGGTGTTTGTGGCGAGGCGGCAGGTAGGCAGGTGTTTCACTGTAAGCTGCCTCGCCACACAAAGCCTTAAATTGCCTGGCTTCCGCACTGCAACCGCTTCCTGCAGAACCATCCACACCTTTTGTCAGACACATTCCAGAGGGCACCAATTACCCAGAATGCACCATACTTAGTAGTAACCTGGAGCTGATTCACCATAAACTAATTGCTCTGCTGCAGCTACGTCTTCGCACTTCTCAGTGGATCTCGTGACAAAGTTAAATGTGCTTTCACACGATTAAAGGGCAACATGAGCTTTATTATTATGTCATATTATATATATTATTGCAGTCTAACCATCAGAAGACCATGACTTTAGGGGTTATGTCTAAAAAAACTAAACAAAAAAGAAAAAAGAAAAAAAGAAAATTCCATCCAAGTTTTGTTGCCACTGTAACATATTGGCACTATAACAAAATGTTTTTGTTTTTTAATCAGCCTGAATAATATTTTATTAATCCTTCTTTTTACTCACTGTGGGCTCCAAAAAATGTCTTTGGTGCAGTGTAACAATGCCATAAGACAGACATTTTGTTTAAAAAGTATTTCTTTTGTTACTTCCATCCATCCATTATCTATACACCGCTTAATCGTCACTAGGGTTCATGGGGGGCTGGAGTCTACCTCAGCTGACTTAGGGTGAAGGCAGGGGACACCCTGGACAGGTCACCAGTCTATCACAGGGCTACACTTAGAGACAGACAACCAAGCACACTCACATTCACACCTACGGACAATTTAGAATCACCAATTAACCTCAACATGTTTTTGGACTGTGTGGGAGGAAGCCGGAGAACCCAGAGAGAACCCACTCTGCACGGGGAGAACATGAAGACTCCACGCAGAAAGATCCTGGGTGTCCTCACGGGGACACAACCCGGCGACCTTCTTGCTGCGAGGCAACGGTGCTAACCACAGGTCCACCTTACAGCCTTCTTTTGTCACTTATTTCACAAAAAAAATAAACAAAATAAACAAAAAAAAAACTGAATCTTCATGTACAATATATTTCCAAGTGCCCACAGGTGTTAACAATACTTGAAAAAATGGTTGATGCACATATAATAGATATTTTATTACTTGCATTTCAAACTTGTTTCCATACTTGTCACATCTCTGCTCTGTGTA